TCAAAATTGTATTTACTATGATTTTTTGTGTTTTTTATATAATTTAATTTGTAGCTAGATATTTGAAGATTCTAAGCAACATTTCTGTTAGTTAAACTTTTTTGGCAAAGGCTTTCAGTTTTTTAATTTCTTAATAAAGGTAAAAATTGTGGATTCTGATATGATATGATTTTTTTTTGTGATTTAAATTTAATTACAAACACGATATCATATAGATATATAACTTTTAGTTACTTTTATGCCATTGCAATTTTGCTCAAGCACTTTGACCCGTCGCCTGTCGCCTTTCATCGTTTTCCAACACTCACTCATTGCAGCCACATTTAAAGCATTTGCTTAAAACTATAAATCACAAATCCATTAATTCATTGAACTGCTACAGATATATATTCATATTCATATTCATATTAAAATTCATATTCATATTCGTATTCGTATTTGTGCCAAAAATGCTTGCATATTCAAATATATTTTCATTTTCATTTCAATTTGATTTTTATTTATTTGCCATATTTTGCCAAATTGCGAAAAGTGCAAGATTTATTTTCTTCATGCTCGCAGTTCCATTAAAATTGTGGAACTACGATTTGCCATTTGCCAGCTGCTCGGATTGCGTATTTATTTATTCTGGAATATGYGAAGAGTTCGCTTTGCGAATTGCCGTCGGCTGGATTTACGGTCCCATCAAAAGACACAAAATCGAACATCAGACAGAAGCAACAACAACAGCAGAATCAGCAATAAACAACCTGTGCAAGGCACATGAAGAAGGCAAAGAAACAATAATAATTAAAATTATTGCAAATGAGTCCAACTGACTGCAAAATACTCGTCCAATTTGCCAATGGGGAAACTAAAGCAAACTTCTTGGGGACTGTTTGCAGAGCATCGCAGATCGTAGTGGATATATGGATGTATATTTCTAGAACTATGCACAAAGCCAATATACCCTTTTTACCAATTCATGTCAAGACCAATAGCAGGTGCTCTTTGGTATAAATAATAAAAGAAATATCTGATATATATTTTAAAGATGAAGATGATGAAAATGAACTAAATAGAAAATAGAAAATAGATATCATCTAGTCAACTGCAATTACATTTCTTACTTTTGATATTATATACCAAATATTTCACAATTCAGGAACAATTCACACAAAGCCAATATACTCGCATGCCGCCAAGCGAGCGAGCATAAGGAAAGAGCAACGCAAAGATAAACAAAATATATCAAAAACGTCTCGACTCATCTTTATGTAAGATACTTAATACATATGTATATGTATATGTTTACTTAAATATATATTCTTGATTTATATTTATTTGTTTTATTTGTTTTTGCTACTCATTTCAACAAATTAATTAGTGAAAATATTTGAATAGCTTTTTGAGTTTCAATTAAAACAATTTTGATGGGTCTTCTGGAGTTTTGAGTTGGAAAAGTTTGTTTTAGACAAATTAATTTTGTGTAATTTCATAGTTTATCTGCGTGTATGAAATTTAATTATTTATTTATTAACTAGTTCCAATTAATATAAAATTAAACATATGAAGATAACCTTGTTATTAGTTCAATCAAATATTTTGGTCCATTTTTTGGTCATTTGATTTTTTAGTAAATATATTTTAGTAAATTGAATATCATGAAGACTTCAACTAATATACAAATCAAAATTTAAATTTAAATTCATATACTCGCGTTTTTCACTTTTTGAATGTAAAGTTTAAATGAAGTTACTATTTAACTTATTTGTAGTACTTTTTTTCAATTGTTATTAAATTTTGCATTCAAGCTTTTTTGTGTGTATGACTAAAAACAGTTGTTTAATTTTTTTAGTGTTTAAAAAAATATATATTTTTTAAAATTGAATTAAATTGATTAATTTTAAATAAAAATGTAGTTTAGTTTTTCTGTTTTTTTTTATTTTTATTTTTTTTTTTAATGCAAAATCGTTAAATTTTTTTT